AGTTTTTTTGTGATACATAAAAACAGGCCATTCAATGGACCTCTGCTCAGTACAAGTTTTGCCCCTATAGTGTCACTGTGAGATTGGTCATCAACCTGAACAACAAACATTGCACAGCTCTCTGAAGATAGAGGTCTGTGTTCCAAAGGGTTTGAGACAGAACACTATTTCACCATCCTCCTCACAATGCTTAATGAACCCCATGATTTTTTATTTTTTTAATTACAGACAAAAACAACATACACACACTGTTTACTGGAAATTACAGATTTGAAAACCAGATTGTGAAATTGTGACAAAGTAATCCCAGACAAGAAATATACACTAGCAATGTCAATGTGAGGGAAAACAAGCCAGCACTTACTGTTCCTCTGCTGAGTCATGTTGGGAATTCATGTCCTAGGCATAATGATGTCATAATCCCTCTAAGAGCTCCTGTATATGAGCAGGTCCCATCACTGCATTTGTCAAAATGCACAATCTGTCTAGTCTACAGAATCTACGGCATTAAGGTAAGAAGTTGTTAACACAAAAAGCTAATAAGGTAGCCTAAATAAATGAAATGCAATTGTAGAGAATAAAAAGTATGGCACGGTAGCCAAGGCTAGATTCTAAAAGGTGTGCATTATAGTTGACACCTACATGAACATTTTACAGTTGGCTGTGTTTGACTGCAAGCCATTCTTCAAATGCTACTGAGGTTAAAACCATGTCGTATGTAACATTAGAGACACTCCCTAAATTTGTAAATATGATTATAAATCCAACGTCAAGCCATCTTTGTTGTTAAACCGTTTTCAGGAATTTAACTAGAGCTAAAATAAATTTATTTTAGAAAATTTCGAAAATTATTCCAACGATATAATTTCACTGTGATGTTATTGTTGTAGCTGTGATGTGGACTCTGTTATTTAGTACGGGTTTTAGAACAGTTTAACGTTATCGATGTAGTTATCATGGTGAACGGGCCTTTAAACGAACATTAGAAATATTACCTTAAAGGGTTAGTTCACCCAAAAATGAAAATTAGGCCATGAATTACTCACCCTCAAGGCATAGGTGTATATGACTTTCTTCTTTCAGACGAATCCAGTCAGAGTTATATTAAAAATTGTCTTTGATCTTCCAAGCTGTTTAATGGCAGTCAGCGGGTGTTGCAGTTCATTAGTCCAAAAGAAGTGAAATAAAGCACATCCATCCATAATAAAATGTGCCTCACACGGCTCAGGGGAGTGAACAAGTCCTCCTGTAGCGAATTGATGCGTTTTTGTAAGAAAAATATCCATATTCAAAACGTAATAATCACTTCAATCTAGCTTGCAGCAACAGTTTTACACGGAAGTAGTTCCGGGCTGATGACATAGGACGTCGGCTTTGTGCATGCCCCGCTCAGAAGTGACAAACGCGGAAGCACAGGGGAGAGATCAAAACAAAACAACAGTCACATATTAGAAGAACAAATCAAGAATTTGTAAAGAAGAATGTCAGGGATTTCTATATAAGCCAAGAGGAGACTGGTTTTCCTTTGCTTAAGTAAGGAAACTTTGCTTCCTTTGATCCTGTAAACAAATGTTGGTTTTCACGAGACTCACCGGAGTATGCGCAACGCCGACCTCATACGTCATCTGCCCGGAGCTGCTTCCGTGTACAACTGCTAGTGCAAGCTGATTAAAGTGATTATTACGTTTTGAATATAGATATTTTTCTTACAAAAACGCATCGATTCGCTACAGGAGGCCTTTGTTCACCCCGCGGAGCCGTGTGAGGCACTTTTTATTATAGATGGATGCGCTTTATTTCACTTTATTAGGACTGATGAACTGCAACACCCGCTGACTGCCATTAAACATCTTGGAAGATCAAAGACAATTTTTAATATAACTCTGACTGGATTCGTCTGAAAGAAGAAAGTCATATACACCTATGCCTTGAGGGTGAGTAATTCATGGCCTAATTTTCATTTTTGGGTGAACTAACCCTTTAAGGCAATATTTCTAAATATTTTTATGATTTCAAGTTTTCCCTTCTCTTTGGAGTGTTACAAGCTCTTGGTGCGTAAAGAAGATCTGTAAAGTTGCAAAGACTAAAGTCTCAAATCCAAAGAGATATTCTTTATAAAAGTTAAGAGTCAACCACCCCTAAAATGGCTCGTTCTAACACGCCCCCACATATCTATGTCACTATGTGGAAAATTTGCAAAATACCGCCCAAATGTGCACGCAAAGAAAGAAGGCGTGGTTTCAGCAACAGCAGCAGTGTTGATGCAGCCATGTCAGGGAGACAGTGTATGTTTCAGTGCGAAAGCAAAAGCATTTTATTTGGTCTTCTGGAAGTAGAAGGAACAGGGTCATATCACAGGAGGGTGAACTGCCTTTCAGAAATCATAGCACGTCAGCTGTCTTAACCGCAGTTTGTGTACTGCATCATCACTGTGTCTGTCACGCAATTCTGTTGCCTTTTCAGGCTTGAACTGATGGTAAAACTAACACATTATTAACAGTCTTGATATTTACTTTGAAAGCTGACACTCTCAATTATGGTAAGGGGCGTTACATTTCCAACGAGTGCTTGTGGTGTTCGGCCAATCACAATGCACTGGGTCAGCTGGCCAATCAGAGCAGACTGCGCTTGTCAAAGGAGGGGGCTTTGTAGAAAACGAAGCGTTTGAGAGAGGCGGGGCATAGAGGACCTACAATAATGTACAGTATTTGAAACATAATGTGTTTTTTGAACATTAAAGCATGTCAACATATTCTGTTACACCAAATACACAAAATAATGATCTTTAAAATAGCATCATATGATCCCTTTAATATAACTCAGATTGGATTTGTCTGAAAGAAGAAAGTCATATACACCTATGCCTTAAGGGTGAGTAATTCATGGGCTAACTTTAAATTTTGGGTGAACAGACCCTTTAACCACCTGAAGTAAATAGGTTTAAGTAAATTACTAGTAAAACGTAAATAAAATAAAATAATAACACTGATGTTTTCAGATGTGCCCAGCTGCTAGATCCTGTTTATTAGTTCTTCTCGCGTTTCTGCCTTATATTTGGTGAGTGCTGCATGAAAACTATATTTTATTCGTGTGTTAATAAGTAATGTTTGGACATTTTGCATCTATTAATTTCCTTTCTTATGCATACTTTTGTTATGAAAGGTGTGAGCAGCCGGTAAACTGCAAGTGGGGACCATATGGGGACTGGTCAGAGTGTGACGGCTGTACCAAAACACAAGTAAGCAAATAAACACAGCTTTGTTTTAAGCAGGTTTAGAGAGCATAATTTCTAATGGCCACAACTGAATGATTGACCTCTCTCAGGTTCGAACGCGTCCCTTAGAGACGTTCCCTCAGTTTGGAGGCAGCTCTTGTACAGGCGAGGCCATCCACAGACAAACCTGTTCACCAAAGAAATCCTGCCCCCTACAGGCAGGATGCGGAAACAGGTTTCGCTGCACATCTGGTAGGTCACTTCTGGCTGTGATAATGAATTTGTGTGGACAGTTTGCAGTCAGTTTACAGTTTTCATTGGTTTGTTTATTTATAGGTCAGTGCATCAGTCTATCTTTGGTGTGCAATGGGGATCATGACTGTGAAGATGGTTTAGATGAGCAACGCTGTAGTGGCAGTGGCACTTTTTTGGGGCTCATTGGCACTGTAGTGTGTAATGAGAAAAAGCCACCGCCTAGCTCTGACCTCACAGGAAGAGGGTAAAATACGGCTTTTATGCACAGTATAAATAATTGTAAAAATATATTATTCATGGTAAAATGCAATACAGTGATATTTGTCGTCCATTAGGTTTGATGTGTTGACGAGTGAGCTGAGAGCCGGTGTCATTAACACTCGTAGCTTTGGTGGGCAGTGCAGGAAAGTCTTTAGTGGAGACCACAGAGATTTCTACAGACTTCCACAGAGTCTACTCAGATATAGCTTTCAGGTGAAATTTTAATTTTAGGCCCATCTCGTTAGTATAATGATAGCTAGGCTATTATAATATAAACTAACCATTTTTATATTGTTTCCTTTCAGGTCAGTGTTGAAAATGATTTCACTGACGAGTACTATAACAGTTCCTTGTCCTACATGAGGCATGAAGAGGAAAGAAAAAATATTAGAGGAGGTCATGATCATAAAATCTTTCATAACAATTTGAAACAGGACAAGGTAACGATGGATTCAGTACTTTAAATAGTAGAAAAAGGCAAAAATATTTGATTATATTATATTTAAAATTTTGTTCTTTCTGTCTCAAAGACTTATCACCTGCTGATAATAAGAAATGAGGTAGAGGTGGCTCAGTTCCAGAACACTGCACCCGAGTACCTCCTTCTATCTGAAGACTTCTGGAAGGATCTGTCGGCCCTGCCCAGCACATATGACCCATCAGCCTATAGATTCTTAATACAGCATTACGGCACACACTACATGGAAGAGGGCTCTCTGGGTGGCCAGTATCGGGCCCTGCTGGAGCTTGACGCAAGTTATATGATGGAGATGAGTATGTGTTTATTTTCGTTTTTCCTCTGTTAATATTTAATTGTGATATTCTATGAGGGCATATGAACTATATGGGCACTGGGCGGTATGCCGGTTCATACCGAATACCGGTGTTTATTTTTGTTATGATATGAATTTTTAAAATACCGCAATACCGGTATATGTCACTTAAACAACTTTCGGAACGCGACACTGTTTGAAAGGGGTTCCTTTTCACTGTTGAGGGAACTACGGTGACCGAGAAGTGCAAAACAAATCACAATTCTGAAAACAAAATAACAAAAATGAAATGAATAAGCCTCAGGCTGAAGGGAAAGTAAATTTACGTCCGTACAGTAGAATGCAGAAGAAGAAATTTCAACACACTTCAGCAGTAAAAAAATACACACAAATGTTCGTCTAGAGTAATTTTTGCTTATTAGTATGGTTGAACTGTCCCGATTTAAAAAGTAGCGCAAATGTAACGTAACGCATTACTTTCCATTTTGGGTGAACAGACCCTTTAACCACCTGAAGTAAATAGGTTTAAGTAAATTACTAGTAAAACGTAAATAAAATAAAATAATAACACTGATGTTTTCAGATGTGCCCAGCTGCTAGATCCTGTTTATTAGTTCTTCTCGCGTTTCTGCCTTATATTTGGTGAGTGCTGCATGAAAACTATATTTTATTCGTGTGTTAATAAGTAATGTTTGGACATTTTGCATCTATTAATTTCCTTTCTTATGCATACTTTTGTTATGAAAGGTGTGAGCAGCCGGTAAACTGCAAGTGGGGACCATATGGGGACTGGTCAGAGTGTGACGGCTGTACCAAAACACAAGTAAGCAAATAAACACAGCTTTGTTTTAAGCAGGTTTAGAGAGCATAATTTCTAATGGCCACAACTGAATGATTGACCTCTCTCAGGTTCGAACGCGTCCCTTAGAGACGTTCCCTCAGTTTGGAGGCAGCTCTTGTACAGGCGAGGCCATCCACAGACAAACCTGTTCACCAAAGAAATCCTGCCCCCTACAGGCAGGATGCGGAAACAGGTTTCGCTGCACATCTGGTAGGTCACTTCTGGCTGTGATAATGAATTTGTGTGGACAGTTTGCAGTCAGTTTACAGTTTTCATTGGTTTGTTTATTTATAGGTCAGTGCATCAGTCTATCTTTGGTGTGCAATGGGGATCATGACTGTGAAGATGGTTTAGATGAGCAACGCTGTAGTGGCAGTGGCACTTTTTTGGGGCTCATTGGCACTGTAGTGTGTAATGAGAAAAAGCCACCGCCTAGCTCTGACCTCACAGGAAGAGGGTAAAATACGGCTTTTATGCACAGTATAAATAATTGTAAAAATATATTATTCATGGTAAAATGCAATACAGTGATATTTGTCGTCCATTAGGTTTGATGTGTTGACGAGTGAGCTGAGAGCCGGTGTCATTAACACTCGTAGCTTTGGTGGGCAGTGCAGGAAAGTCTTTAGTGGAGACCACAGAGATTTCTACAGACTTCCACAGAGTCTACTCAGATATAGCTTTCAGGTAATTTTAGAATTTTAGGCCCATCTCGTTAGTATAATGATAGCTAGGCTATTATAATATAAACTAACCATTTTTATATTTCAGGTCAGTAGGTCAGTGTTGAAAATGATTTCACTGACGAGTACTATAACAGTTCCTTGTCCTACATGAGGCATGAAGAGGAAAGAAAAAATATTAGAGGAGGTCATGATCATAAAATCTTTCATAACAATTTGAAACAGGACAAGGTAACGATGGATTCAGTACTTTAAATAGTAGAAAAAGGCAAAAATATTTGATTATATTATATTTAAAATTTTGTTCTTTCTGTCTCAAAGACTTATCACCTGCTGATAATAAGAAATGAGGTAGAGGTGGCTCAGTTCCAGAACACTGCACCCGAGTACCTCCTTCTATCTGAAGACTTCTGGAAGGATCTGTCGGCCCTGCCCAGCACATATGACCCATCAGCCTATAGATTCTTAATACAGCATTACGGCACACACTACATGGAAGAGGGCTCTCTGGGTGGCCAGTATCGGGCCCTGCTGGAGCTTGACGCAAGTTATATGATGGAGATGAGTATGTGTTTACTTTCGTTTTTCCTCTGTTAATATTTAATTGTGATATTCTATGAGGGCATATGAACTAAATTAGTGCTGGGCGGTATACCGGTTCATACCGAATACCGGTGTTTATTTTTGTTATGATATGAATTTTTAAAATACCGCAATACCGGTATATGTCACTTAAACAACTTTCGGAACGCGACACTGTTTGAAAGGGGTTCCTTTTCACTGTTGAGGGAACTACGGTGACCGAGAAGTGCAAAACAAATCACAATTCTGAAAACAAAATAACAAAAATGAAATGAATAAGCCTCAGGCTGAAGGGAAAGTAAATTTACGTCCGTACAGTAGAATGCAGAAGAAGAAATTTCAACACACTTCAGCAGTAAAAAAATACACACAAATGTTCGTCTAGAGTAATTTTTGCTTATTAGTATGGTCGAACTGTCCCGATTTAAAAAGTAGCGCAAATGTAACGTAACGCATTACTTTCCATAAAAAAGTAACTTACCTACGTAATTTGTTACTTTTTTTATGGAGTAATGCAATATTGTAATGCACTACTTTTAAAAGTAATTTTCCCCAACACTGGATCCGAACAGTGAGATTGGTGATCCGTTGAACCCCTAGTATATGCATGTTGATTTTATCAGACGATGCCGCGATTATAAATGAGTGTGACTCCTGGCTAACATGTATTAAAAAGGGTTGTGTTTAGTCACTATTTAGTGTGGTATGTTTTGACAATATTCACTCATCATGACAGTAAAATAGGGCATTCTAAGTCAATATACTGCAGTATTTCCTCTCTCAATCAGTAGAAAATATGGTTAACACCCGGTCATGCATGAAAAAAAAATACTGTCATGTACCGTGAAACCGGTATAATTTTGAAAAATACCATGATATAAAATTTTTGTCATACCGCCCAGCACTAATGGGCAAGGCATTAAATTATGCCAGAAATATTTCTAATGGTTTTCAATTCAAAAAAGTTTCCTTGCCAGTCTAGATCAGAGGTGTCCAAACCAAGGCTTGTGGGCCAAAGTTGGACTAGGATGATTCAGTTTGAGAGTTCAGTTCGGCCCGCCATATCACCAGAGGAAGGGGAAAAAAGGAGAAAAAAATAATTGAATTGCATAATTTCTGAATTATATTTGTGTTTTAACTGTTGTTGTTGTTGTTGTTTTTTTGCATTGAAATTATTTAATTAAATATAAAACAACAACAAAAGTTATTTATATTTTTGTTTAATTATAAAATTTTCATTTTTTATTTTAATGCATTTTGATATAATATATTTGGATATAATGCAACAGTCTTTTGCACAGCCCTCAATCAAGTTTGATTTTTGTATTAAAAAGTCTGTAGTCATGACCATTTTGTGCATGCTTCGGTCCAGATTTTGTTTGATGGACGCCAGAATGACCTTCATCATCAAAATCTCTATTAACCCCTTTGAAAGAGGTATGTGTGAATCTATCATTTTGTTAAATATAGTTTTCTTTTAATGCAGGTAGAACGGATATTGATTTCCACCAGTGTATTACACGTGTGAAGCGACGGCTCTTCTATAAAAAGAAAAAAACCAAGTGTATGAAACTAATGAAGACAATTGAGAGTTTCAGCGGTTAGTCCAAGTGACTGATTCTTTATTAATGTCATTTGAAAATCAGATTTGAATGTTATGACCTGACAGATTGTGCTGCATTCCCTTTGAAATGTTTTACAGAGAACAGAAATCATAAGATGCCAGTAAAAACAGACATTATCGGAGGACATCCCGCTTATATCGCTGGCCTTAGTCTTCTAGACTTGGAAAAACCTGACAGTAACAAACAGATGTATTCCAAATGGGCTGGATCAGTGAAGGAGTTCCCTAAAGTAATAAAACAGAAGGTATGTCAGAATTAAGACATCAAAAACATGTGCGTCATAGTACAAGTATTAAGGAAGTATAGAAGCATTCATAATAGGGTGTCATATTCATAGTTGAGGCCACTGTATGAGTTGGTAAAAGAGGTGCCATGTGCCGGGCTGAAGAAACTCCACCTCAAGAAGGCACTGGAGGCCTATCTGGAGGAGCAGAGCCCTTGTCACTGCAGACCGTGTCAGAACAATGGCATGGCTGTGCTCACTGACGGTGTGTGTGGCTGTGTGTGCAGGCCGGGCACCAGCGGTAATGCCTGCCAGAATGGCCATGTCCTTGGAGAACAAGCAGGTAAGAATGTTTGTTAATTTATGACAGATAAACTCAAATGCAAATGTGTATCTTTAATGACACACTATCATCTGAACAATCAGTCAGTAATTATATGGACACAAAGTTTTATTTCGGTATGGACATCTCTGAAGATAACGAAAACTTGTAGTTCATTAAGTAAATCAGATTGATTCAGTTGAGTCAGTTCCTGCTATGAATCAGTTCACTGAATTGAAGGATTTGTTTGCAAACTGGTGAATTATTTTTTTAACTATTCATTAAAACAACTTGTGGTTAAGTTATTAGTTCAGAAATCAGACTACACTTTGCTCTAATTTGTTTAGGATTCAGACTACTTTGCACTATATGCTGTAATTCACTAAAAAAACCTGACTCATCTGATCATGAATCAGTCTACACTGGTTGCATTAAATGTTGTTCTTCTGCAGTTTTTTTTCATGGTGCGTGTTTTTTTATTGCACCACATTGAATACAGACAGCTCATGACTCACATTTACAATGAATGCAGATAAGATTTTCTTTTCATTGTGACGTTAAAGAGTCAGCAGGGAAAGCATTGATTCAGCATTTTATGTGTAAAATTTTACATTAGTAAAATATTAATAAAAGCAGCTTATTTGTTAAAAGTAATAAGCCTGTTCATCTTGTCTCAAATATGTCAAATTGGTCCTGCTTTATAGGAGTGATTGAAGGAGTCTGGAGCTGTTGGTCTGCCTGGAGTAGCTGCTCTCAGGGTCAAAAGTCAAGGACTCGTTTGTGTAATAATCCTGCTCCAAGAAATGGAGGTAGGAATTGCATAGGAGAGACCGTAGAGCGTAAAAGCTGTGAGGACCCTGATTTTGAACACCTCAAGTGAGGATCAAAAATTCTTACATTTTATTTGGATTTGGATTTTTTCAGAACTAGACTCATGACAGTTTTTCATACTCTAGGATGATGGAGCCCCAGGTCCTGCTTTATAGGAGTGATTGAAGGAGTCTGGAGCTGTTGGTCTGCCTGGAGTAGCTGCTCTCAGGGTCAAAAGTCAAGGACTCGTTTGTGTAATAATCCTGCTCCAAGAAATGGAGGTAGGAATTGCATAGGAGAGACCGTAGAGCGTAAAAGCTGTGAGGACCCTGATTTTGAACACCTCAAGTGAGGATCAACAATTCTTACATTTTATTTGGATTATGATTTTTCAGACCTAGACTCATGACAGTTTTTCATACTCTAGGATGATGGATCGGCTTTGATCCCTCAGTGACACCTGTGAAGACATGTAAAACTCCACCTTCTTTGACAAATGGATTTGTTGTGGTAATTGTCTCCCTAATCAAGGGAACTGGAGGGGGGTGGGAATACGCACATGAGTGAAAACCCCTTCAATACACAAAACTTGCAACAGACATGTGTTTTACATCTCACCCATCATGTATTCAGGACCCCAAAGACATGTATCCAGTAGGCAGAAAGATTGAGTACACCTGCACAGACGGACATGATCACATTGGCAATCCAATCGCTGAGTGTACAGAGAACCTGACCTGGAGGATATCGCCCATGGAGTGCAAAAGTAATTCTTTAAACTACAAAAGAAAAAAATTCCCCATATAGCAAAAAATATTTATCTTCAAATTGTATATTTTTATATAAATATACAAAAAAATGGCCAAAAGTATATTTGCTAAAATGTGTTTACATTTTTAAATATATTTTTATGAAATTATATTATTATATAATTTTTGAAAATATATTACAAAATATAAATGTATTTTTTTTTAAGTATTTAAAACTTAAATCATATATTTCAATCCAAGAAAATACAATCACATTTCACATTTGAAGGAAAACTTTATTTGTCTATATAACTCGTGAATGTATAACATTTGAATAAAAATCAGCAAGGGACATACTATATACAATGTTCCAATATATATACAAATTATTAAAATATGATAAATTTTTTAGTTAGTTAGTTTTGATCTCTAGTAAGCTATTCCATCCACATTAGTATTTAGCCTAAATGTAGGCTACTGTAAGACTGGAAATGTATTTTCTTTCCCCTGAAATACATTTTGAAGTATATGAAAGTATATTTCAAAAATATATTTCATTAAGCTTCACTGTTTACAACAAATATTTAGCATATACAGGTATTTAAAATATATTTTGGCCAGTATTTATTTATTTATTTGCTGTATGAGTCATTCTAAAGTGTTCTGGATGGTTGCCAAAACTTTGCTCTGCAGTTGTTAAGGCATTGATTACTTACTCGTATTTTCTTCTCATTGTGCACCAGAAACAGCATGTGATCACTATGTAATGTCACTGCCACACCCTCAAAACAAGCTTATCTGATCGGGGAAAGTGTGACCCTGTCATGCCCAAGTGGGATGCAGAAAGAAGGCGAAGCAGAAATCATGTGCCGTCTTGGTCTCAGCTGGTATCCAACACCTGAGAGTGTCCGATGCAACCCAGGTAGGCTGTAGATTCCTAATAAACACCAATGAGGTACTTGGTTTCAATTATTACTTATATTGTTTTTCTGAATAGTGGAAGCAGTGCCCACTCAACCAAGCCTGTTCTGCAAACCATGGGAAAAAACAGCAAAGGGTCAGTGTGTTTGCAAAATGCCATATGAATGCATGTAAGTTTATTAGTTATGATATTGAATACAAAAACGAATAATGACCATACAAAGCAGCATGAATTAATGTCAAATCTCTATGTGATGTTGACCAGGACGTCATTCCAGATTTGTGGCTCTGTGCGTCCTGGACGCGTGAACAGAATGAGCATCTGCCAGCTTGGGGCCTTGCATTGTCTGGGGCAAACATTTACTTTGCTACAAGATAGTGCATGCAGTTGGCCTGAAACCAAATTCACATCCTGTCAGGACTGCCATCAGTGGGAGAGATGGTAGGCTCTTTATGAAACATCAAAACCTTTTTAAAAGTGTAAATAAGGGTACATATATACACATAGACGCACACACACACACACACACATATATATATATATATATATATATAAAACTTTATATTTATTAATTTAATTTTTTTGTGGGGCTTAAAATACATAATACCCAACTGTGCAGAGATTGTGAACAGACTGCTGTCATGAAAAACATAAAGTATGTAATGAAGAAGAAATTAACAATATTTGTGTTTGAGTATATATATATATATATATAAATTATTGTAACAAAAATAATAAGTGTACACCTAAGTGTATTTCAGATATGAAATATATATGTATTGTCATTTTAGTCATCTCTCAGTGGTTTGAAACTGTTCCCCTCTGTGCAGAAAAAGTCATAGCTTGAAAATAAGTGCATAAATGTATATGTAAGACATGTAAATGTATCCCCAGGTTCGAAATGTGAATGTAAGGATCCTGAGGACTGCGCAGATGACTCCACCCACCTGTGTCTCTCTCTAATGGGCGGAGCTCCTGAGATGGTTTCAGAGTGTGAGGCGGGAGCTTGGAGATGTCAAGGGAAAAACATCACAGTACTCAGCATTGGAGATTGTCAGGCATAAACCACTTTCAATTGCTTGTTGCAACTGTATGATTTTTAAAAACTGTAATATGTAGTAATATGTAATATATAAAAAATATTGTAAATAAGTGCACATTCATTAATAAAATGGTTCTTAAATTGTCGGCAATGTGATTGACAAGCAGATGAAAGTCACATTTACACTTTTCAGTGTAATTAACATAAAAATGGCTTATTTTTATTTGTCTCTGCATATGCTGGGATGGAAGAAGGTATTTTAATGTTGCAAAAAATATACACAAGCTTTAACAGATGAAAATACAAGAACACATCTGAAAGTCTGATAACATTTTATTATGCTGTTCCACATCAATATCCAGATTGTTAAAAAAAAAACCTGAATAGCTTACTGAGTG